GCAGAAACAGGAGGAAGGGAAACAGGTTTAACTGATAAGAAATTAAATCCAATGACAAGAAAATAAAAATATATGTTTGTTCTACTGAATTGTAGCTTCTGAAAACCAAACACACTATATCAACTATGTTGAGGGGCATTTACATTGTTTCCAGTTTGTTATGGCCATAGTAAGGCTGACACAAATATCACTGTACTGAGATTCTTATATATTAGCACTTTTATTTATGTATTAGAAGTATGGGCTAGATTCTCATGAGTGGAACCATTGTGTTGGAGAGTACGTACATATTAAATGTGAAGAGATGTTGCCGGATGGCCTTCTAAAAACGCAGGAATAATGTTTATATCTACCAATAATGTACACAAAAACCTTTTCTCTAGCATGTCTGCCAGAAATAGGTGATTTTAATGTGTAAAATATCTTTACCAAGATATAATTACATACCACAAAATTCACCCTTTTAAAGTGTGTAATATAGTGGTTTTAGAATATTCAAAACTACGCAACAATCACCACTAAATTTAGAACATTTTTAGCACTCAAAATGCATTTTTAGTTTCAAAAAAAGAAACCCTGTACCCTTAGCAATCAGTCCCATTCCCCCACCTCATCCCAGACCTACACAACTATTAATCTACTTTCTATCTCTACAGATTTGCCTATTCTGAACATTTCATATAAATGAAACTATAAAATATTTGTGTTTTTTTGAATTGGTTTCTTTCATTTAACAAGTTTTCAAGGTTCATCTATGTTATAATATGTATCTGCACTTCTTTCCCTTTTATTGTTGATCGATATTTTACTGTATGGATATATTATATTATCTATTCAGTTGACAGACATTTGGGTTTTTTCCACTTTGGGGCTATTAAAAATAAGGCTTCAATAAACATTTGTGTACAAGTTTTTGTGTAGATGTGTGTTTTTATTTCTCTTGGCTATATACCAAGGTTTGAATCACTGGGTCATACGGTAACTCTTAACTCTGTGTTTAACCTATTGAGGAACTACCAAACTGTTTTGTAAAGTATGATTTTAATTTTGCCAGTTTGACAGGTATAAAATATTTCACTGAATTCATAATGTGGACTCCTTACTGAGTTTGAGGCTCATTTCTTTCATTCACTGGCCATATAAATTTGTTTATTTTCCAATTGCTTTTCATCTATTTTGCATTTTATGAACTTCCAAGAGTTCTTTCTACATTATAGATATTAACCTATTTATTACTGTCTTCTTTTTTTTTTTTTTTTCGTGTCCGGCAACAGATCGCAACCCTCAGTGTCGCGCCCGTACCGGACCGGGACCGGCAACGGGATCGCAACCCTCGGTGTTGCTCCCACACCTCGCTCAGCCAGTGAGCGGGAACCGGTCCGTATGTGGGATCCGAACCCTCGGCGG